AGACATGGTCTGGTATCTGGTACACTTCTTTTAAAGCCCTAAAGTCAGTTCACTGGCCTGCTACAGACACATTGTGCAGAATGGTAGGAGATAAGAAAGGCAGAGAGCTAAACAGAAGGTTCTGTAAGGAAATTGACACAGGGCTAGGATCGATTAGTCTCTGGAGGTTACTCTCTTTCTCAATAACAGCAATGAGAACTTCATTTCTAAATTTTTTTAAATCTTAAGTTTTTAGGGGGGTTTGTTTCTTTTTCTTTACTATTTTTTGATCTGTGACACAGAAAAAAAGTTTATATGTCACAGGCATGGGTGGATGAACACATTACAAATTTCATTTTATACAGATGCAGTCAAACTTATTGTGCTTCAGATTTTACAGAAAACCAAACCTCTGCTTCTGCAGGCATTAGTGTACCTTCTGGAATAACATGAAGAAAAAAGAATCTCCAAAGTATCAGAAAAAATGGCATACCTTTATTCCAATTCCAGAATATTCTCCATCACTAGGCAACATTCAAAAAGCCAGATCTTTGAGATAAGTGAGCAGAGGGGAAAAATAAAACTGCATATACTTTTGTGATATGAAACCTTTGTCCTGAAGAAATAAAAGGAGAGGAGAACAAATGCTAAGCATTCTCTAGGGAGTTGTTCTTCCTTGAAACTAAGGTAAACTTTGCTATCAGAAGTCAGCAGTCTCAATTTATTAAAGTAAGTGAATTCACAAATATTATTGGCAGTGTTGGGTGAATGTGCCTAGTATCTGCATAAATACTTATTGTCCAGAAAATTTACAATACCCATTGAAGCATCCATGGTAGACTGTATCTTGTGATAAAAACCACCACTGGCAAAACAGTGCTTTACAGTGCATAAGATTCTTAAATGTTCTAATTGAACTGTTCTCTGAGGGTTCAATCTTCTTCCAGCTCCCTGAAAAGTGTTATGTAACTGCTGAAAGAGGTCTCTAATTAAAGTAACAAATTAGGCAGAGAGAATGAATTATTTTAACTCAGAAAGAGTGAGTATGTAAATGTGTGTCTATATACTAAGGGTTGGGAATATCATAATCATGATATACTCATATGCATTTTCCATCAAACTAACAAATTTTGACAAATATAGCAACCATTCTTTAAGCATCTGGAAAAATATTATGATTCTTTCAGGGGAAAAAAATAAGTACTGTTTTAAAAGCAATACATAGAAACAGCTCTGTTATGAAGAATTTCTGTCATCTTTCCTCTGATTCCCTGACAGAAGAAAGTTTCATCCCCATATTGCTCTGGCAAGTTTCTAATGGGATATCCAAAAGCAGATATTTCTGATTATGCAAAGAAGTGTAAATGTGACATATTACATACAAATGGACAAAGGATTGAAAAATTATCAGTGAAAACATCCTAAAACACAAAGTGAGAACACAGACAACAATGAAATTAATTATGTACCATCTGATCTACACATAAAAGCACAGCCCAAAAAGCATTTGGCTACATGGGTTTTAGTAGAAATTGCAATACTTTTCTAGGCAGAATAAATTGTAAACAACCCTGTATTCATTAAAAGGCCTTCATAAGTACAATTCCCTAACAAACAAAAGGACATCTTCCTTGGGTTTTTTTCTCTAAAACTGAAGAAAAAGTTTACAACTTAATGCATTTTCCTTGTACAGCAAAGAAATGCTATTCCAGTTCTTGTTCTGCCTTTTTTACATGAGTACAGATACAGCATCATTTTCTTGGCTGTCCTCTTGTTGATACTCTTAAGCCTTTACTCTCTCTGAATAGTACTTTTTTTCAGTATGTAATAAAACTCAAAAAGCAACAAAGAATCTCCTCACCTTAAGAATCCAGTAGGGGAAAGTATCATATTCTGTCTTTTCCATTTTTTTCTTTAAAATGAAAATTGTAACACAAAAAAGAATCCATAAGGTGATCCAAGCAATTCTGAAGTTCTGCTGGACTGGATATTTGGTACAGCCCTGTGACTGTCTCCTGACTTATATTTCCCTGAAGGTTTTAAGCTTTGCATTATGTAGATGCATATTCAAAGAATGGAGCTTTAACATTGTGCAGATTTTATTGAGAAAAAGCACAAGTTCAGGTCCAAGAGATAAAGGTTTAACTGGTCATATGATCAATTATCTGGACTGAGGCTTTAACACCTATTTCCTCTGCTGGAGCCATAGATTATTGACCTGAATCATACGCATGATGAGATTGCATGTATGTCTATACAGGTAGGTAGGGTCAAACTATGAAATCTTATGCTCATGCAAGTCCCAGATTTCAGTCAAAGTGCATAGATATAAGCATTAACAGCTGAAGATCCAATGCACTGCTGTGGAGTCTTTCCATCTTATAGCTCTACTGTTAATAAAGGAGTTGAGGAACATTCATGCAAAAGTCTATTTGGGCTCAAAGGAAAATCTGTTGTTCTGGGCTATGAAAGCAAGGGGGGAAAATGTCTCCTGAGATTTTTATGAAATGAAACCTTTGTCCTGAAGAAATAAAAGGAGAGGATGACTGGATTTGAAGATGATTGCAAGAGAAATATAGCTTTGTATTGACAGATACAGCTCCCACTGACTACCACTTTCAATGTGACATCAAGATTTTGTTTTTTAGGAATCTGCAAAACATTACTGAAAGCCTTCTAAAGGCAATTTCTGTAGGTTTCTTTTCTTAACAAACCTAGCATAACAAACAAACAAACCAACCCCTCAAGAATGCCAGCCTTTATAGAATTATAAAATCCAGAAGTAAAAATAGCAGCTGTCTTGTGTTAGGAGCATTCTGATTATTTCTAACAGCTGATGCTCAAAAAAATGTGCATTCAGAAGTGCAAACTCATCACAGACATAAGAAAAGCCTTTTCTTCACACCTTCTCTCAGCTGTTTTCTACAATACAAAGCAACAGAAGTTCCATTTCTGAATAGGAATAGATGACAAATATGAAAGTTATAAACACATGATAACTGTGTATTGTGAATGCACTTTATATATGTTTCACTGATATCTTATGTATGTATTGTATTACAAAGAAAAGCTCCCACTAAAGTGAGTACAGTACAATTAAACAGTACAACAAAGGGTCATGTGCCAAGCAAAACAGTAACACTGCATTTGTCTTTAAAATAAATTTCTTGTTATGATTTGAGTTAAACTGTCATTAACTGTGTTAATTATATGGCTAATTCGGAAGTTGCATTTCTGAAGTCTCTGTATGTGTGAAAAGTTTTATCCAAGAAGTGTATCTCCTTAGGTGAAATAAAGACATAATGCATAACAGGCCTTCACCTTAAAAGACACCTTTTTTAGTTCCTTTTCCTACTTCCCTGTCAAGTCCAATTTAGGATAGTCCAAACACTGCTTTCTGCTGTTGGTTGTAAAGTCATTGCTCATTGTTCTTGGGGAAGTAAAAAGAAAGCAGCAAGTACTTACTGCTGCATACTTCTACCCAAAGCATGACATCGACACATCACAGATTTATTAAAAAGTTCTCACCCTCTTAGAAATCTGTGTAGGTATAGTACATACAACTTATATAGTAATAAACACATATAATACAGATCCTGATTAAATTATGTTCAAAACCATAACTACATCATGAACAATTTTAAAAGAGCTATTCAGAAGCATGTCTTGATATAAGTATCTTGCACTGACATGAACATGGCCCTAGTCTTCCACATAAGATCACAGTCCAAAATTCAGTGAGTTTAAACTTGTACTCAAATACAAAAATATATAACACTGTACCTCTTTTATTCAGGAACCATCACCTGGCTTTTGCTATAATGTTTCATCACAATCTGAATGGAATTGATATACTAATCTGGCAAAGGGCTGGAGTCTCACTTAAGGAATAATTTTAATATATTAATTAGCCCTTCAAATTATATTATTATTTTTAAATATTGATGTATATTGGATTGATCCCTTTTGGAACTAGAATATGAAATCCATTAATCTAGTCCAAACAAATAGCATGACATAGAGGTTTTCCTCTGTTGAAAGTATAGTTAAACACTGGAACAGATTCTTTGGGAAGATAGTCTCCTTCCCTGAGATATTTCACAAGCAGATAAAAATATCTGTAAATATTTCTGTATCACTGTATGTACCATATGCACCAACAATGGAGTTAATGCTTCTCAGTCATTACAGATGACTAGTGATTTGTAAGATCTCAGAAGATATTCCACAGCACTACTGCAAAAATGTAACTGTAAAATAAAGCCAAGCCTCCACAGTTCCATACAGCCATACAAACAAAACTACACAATAAACACATACACAAAAGCTCAAGAGGAAAACTCAGACAAATATTTAAAGTTTACTCTTATTTTCATCAGGTTGCAAACTGGAGACCATGAGGCAATACTAAACCAAGAGTAAAGCTGAGTTGAGTCTGGGTTTTGGAAAGTTTAGATGGTTCTTTGACTCAAGAAATGTTCAGAAATACTTGGCTGGGTGACTCTGAAGGCTGTTTTCCTTCTGGGCCTATCTGCTATGAATTTCTGATTGCAATTTTCAGGCACACTTTGCTAGGAAGGGCATGAAGTGATAGAGTATCACTCAGGAAGCATGAAGGACCTGCTTTTGGTATCATATCTGTAAAAGTAAGCATTCATTCAAATTTTTAAGCCCCTTAAATTTTTATTTTGTCTTTAAGCAATAGTTGGCAATAACCAAGTCAGCACTATTCACCTAGAAACAGGCCATATTACCAACATATTTTTCATTAATACACTTAAAAATATTCCAGAATGTATGAAGCATAAATGATAAAATAAAATGGAATATAAAAATAAAATACAATATCTGATTATTCATAGTTTACAATATGTTGTATACACATGTCCAGACAGTTCAGTGATGACACATTACAGTTTTTCCTTTCTGTCAAGAAATACATGGAAATGATTCTGTTCAATTGAGACATCCCAGACAAAACAGAGACCCATTTCTTTGAGATTTTTATGTGTTTGATTTACCTTCATTGTTCCTTAGAGTAAAGTTGGGATTCAAAGAAAGCCCTTCATCAAGGGAAAAATGGAATCTTGCCCCATTTGCTGAGTTATCTTTGTCAGTTGCAGTGATAGTCTGAATTACCTGCAATAAAAATTAACAGTGAAAGTGTTGAAATTTGAACTTGACCCAAATAGCACCTGACCTCAGCAGGATGCTCAAGCTTACCTTATTTTAATTTTCTACTTGACTGCTGCTAAATTCAACAGATGAAAAGACTGGGCCATTAGCTTGATTTCACCAGCATGAAATATTTTAGGAACCACACTTCAGAGCAAGATAAAAACATCTAAAGGATCTATACTTCCTGATGCTTTGATATGGCCAGGATCTTGTACAGACATAAACTACATTGCATACTGGTGACATTCTCAATTACAGTTTCAGCTAAATATCTGTTTTTATGGAGCCAAAAGACAAGCTGAACCAGAATGGCCTATGTGAGACATCATCTGCTTGCCTCCCTAATAATTAGACGCACTTCAATATTGGTTAGGAAAAACGATTAACTAAAATGGCAGGTATATAACACCAGCTTTATGCTTAAAATTCCTGTTAAGAATCAGTTTTAAATTGCTAGAGAACAGAACAGGAGGGATAGCAGCCAATCCTTGTTTTAATTTGGTTTGCCCAAAAAGGAACTGAACTGGACGCAGCAACCATGTACGAGAGAGGTATTTTTGAAAAGTTAGGACCTTTGCCTTCGAAAGCCCTGGTGGTTTTTAAAATTTACTTTCTACTAAAATTGATCTAAGTTTTTGGAACGTGGAACCAAACAGTATTTCTACCTTTACTTTCATTTTCATGCTAGGTCTTGAAAGTCAAGTGCTAAAGTGGAATCCAATAAAAGTTGTTCTCGTGATACAGGCAGTGATGCCCACACAGACTGCTGCACAGAGCTGATGGATATCCTGAGGGAAATGTGAAAGGGGGAGGGAAAATGCTCTTTTCATGAGAATTTCTCTGTTCAGTGTTCAGCTGTAGTCTGCCTGGACTGAACTTTAAGTATAAAAAGTGCAGGTTCAAGTGGTTTGGCCTGTTGTAGTGGTTTAACCCCAGCCAGCAGCCAAGAACCATGCAGCTGCTCACACTCCCTCCTCCCCCCTCTTCCCCCCCAACCCAGAGGAATGGGGAGGAGAACAAATAAAGTAAAATATGTAGGTTGAGATAAGAACAGTTTAATAATAATAAAGAGTAGAACGAGCTAAAATGCTAATGAATAATAAAAAGAACAAAATCAGTGATGCACAACCCAATTGCTCACCACCCGTGGAGCAGCGCAACCCCGAACCTCCCCCCGGATCAGCCCTTCCTGCTTGTAAACCCGGGCATGACGTGCCATGGTGGGGAATATCCCTTTGGCTAGTTCAGGTCACCCTGTCCCAGCTATGCTCCCTCCCAGTTTCCTGTGTATCTTCTCACTGGCAGAGCATAAGACACAAGAAAGAAAATGTCCTTGATTTAGTATAAACACAACTTAGCAAAAACCAAAACATCAGTGTATTATCAACAGTATTATCACTCTGAATCCAAACACTGCACTACACTAGCTACTGAGAAAATTAACTGCATCCCGGCTAAAACCAGCACATCTGTTTTAAAACTGAAAGACAGCATACTGTTCCCTGCCTCCATTTAGATAAAAGAAGCAAACAAAATACATTTTAAAGCCATGGACTGGTTTGGGCTATCGTAGCATCAATTTTCTTTACAGTAGCTGGTATGGGGCTGTGGATTTGATTTGTGCTGGAAACAGTGTTAATAATACAGAGATATTTTTGACATTGCTGAGCAGTGCTTGCACAGCATCAAGGTCTTTTCTGCTTCTTGTACTGTCCCCTGGCAAGGGGGATGGGAGGGAAGAAGAAGTTATGAGGGGACACAGCCAAGACAGCTGACTCCAACTGATCCAAGGGATATTCCATACCATCGAAGAGGTCTAGTAACGACAGTAGGGTTGGATTCAGTGATCTCTGAGATCTCTTCCAACCCAGTTGATTCTATCATATGGTGTCATGCTCAATACATAAAGCTGAGGGAAGAAGAAGGAAAGGGGACATGTGTCATGCTCAATACATAAAACTGAGGGAAGAAGAAGGAAAGGGGACATGTTCAGAGTGACAGCATTTGTCTCCTCAAGTCACCATTGTTACATGATGGAGCCCTGCTTTCCTGGAGATGTCTGAACACCTCCTGTTCATGGGAAGCAGTAAGTGAATTCCTTTCTTTGCTTTGCTTGCGAGTGCACCTTTTGCTTTTCCTATTAAACTGTCCCTATCTCAACCCATGAGCTCTCTTACTTTTACTCTCCTGATTCTCTCCCCCATCCCACTGGTAAGGAGCGAGCAGCTGCATGAGGCTGAGTTGCTGGCTGGGGTTAAACCATGACCAATCAATATAGCATAATGCTGATTCCATTTACTATATATGATATGGTATATTGTATTGCCTATATATACCTGAATCAATTAACAATACTGATGATGGTTGCCAAGAATATTTTAAAAGTTGGTCATAACACTTTTTTGCTGAAGTGTAGCAGAGTAACATTAATCTGAAACAATCTGAAACATCTATAATCGTGCAGTTTAACAAAGACATGGCAATATTGGTTTAAAAGTTTGGAATATGCTAATTGTTCACTACTGAATTTTGCAAAGGTGGTATAACTGCTAGTGAAACAACTACCATGTGAAAACATAAATATATGATTTTCTTAGCTAGATATATTTAGTTGATAGTGTTGAAATGGTCTGAGGCAAAGTAAGATTACAAAACAGTGATGGAAGAATATGTTCAAAAGAATCAATTGATGTTATTATTAAAATACTAAAAATACTGTTAAACACCATATACAGCTGTAAAATCTTCAGATAAGGACACAATAAAAACATATTAATTCATTAAATATTATTTATATTACCTCAGTACTGTTTCTCAGTGAAATACAAGCATATTCTGTGTCAAACATTCTGAATGTGATGCCAGGTAAGATGGGATTGCAGGAGTGGGCCCTGTGGTGGTGGGGCAATGTGTTCTGAGTCGATCTCCTGCTTTACCTGGAGACTCCTGCTCAGCTTCCCCCCCTCCTCCTGACTCATTTTTCCCTGAAGCAGGGCTCCAAGCGTTGCTGTGCACACATGAATGGAATAGAGTGAAAAATCTATTTGACATAAGAGGTGTGCACCATGTCAACAAAAAAAAAAAAAAGGGAAGTGGATCAGGACCCTTGCATATGCTTTTTACACTTTTTCTCCTCTCACTTTGCGGACTGTGGGGTGACTCTTTTGACTTGCAATTGCAGGCTCTGGACTATGCACATGGCAGACCAATTCAGGATCTATGGACTCGGTGATATCCTTTCTCCTGTTCCTTTACTCTGCCTGAGCAAAGCAGGGTTATCATACTTTGCCCTGTCCTTTAGACTAAGGTCTCTTGTGGTAGCGGGGAGACCGTGAAAAGTGGTGTTGTGGCTTATAAGCAGGACCTTTGAATATAGGTGTGTTGTGGTTTGTTAGCCAGCACCTTTGGTTGTGTGTTGTGGCTTGTGAGTCTGCATCTTTAAAAGGTCTGTGGTGGGAATTGAGAAGTTATTGAACTGTACCATGCACCACTAAGAGCTTGTTATCTTCCACTCTCGTGGAAGACAATTGTATAAATTTAAGTATTTGCTTACTAACACCTTTTGAGCCTAATTGTTTGGCTGGTTGACAAAGTTAAAACCTAAAGTTCCCTGACACGTGATCCGGTGTCTTTGTTCAGCCTGGTGAAAATTGATAAAGAATATCATGCCCCATACAGGTGGGTCGTGATAGACATCCACTTTCAGTTTTTATTTGACAGCCTAGTAGATAAATTTTCATCTTGTTGCCCTTTGTAGATAAAACATTCAGTGACATTTTACAGAATCTTACTTCAAGAACACACCATTTCACAACAAAAATACCTTTGATCAAGGCCTCAGTGCCACAAGATTAGTATAAAAATTATTTGTTTTTTAAAACTATAACCCAAAAATACGTGGTCTATACTCCCTGATTTCACATATGGAAATTCAAGTGTTCCCTGAATTCACCAATATGTGTAAAAAGTACAGCACCAGATGGTATAGAATACATGCTTTTCCATGTAGAAAATAAAGATTGTATGTCTAATAAGACAGGTCAAAATATCTTTAGAGAACTGTTTTTAAATAGAAAGTTCACACTCTTTTAGAAAAGATTTCTAAGACATTCATTCAGAGGTGAGAAACAAACGTATATGTCCTCTTGACATCCAAATGTACTGTGAACCTTTTCTAATTAATTGGCCAAATACTTAATAGCCTATTGGCAGACATGAACATGTACCTTACCAAAGCTGATTAAAATAAAAATGCAGACACATAATATCAGCTGCAGTAAAGTTCAGTTGACAGCACTGATAAGATGAAATTAAAGGGTTGTGCTATTTTCATTAAAGGCAAGACTTGGCGAGAAAAGAGAATTTCAAGAACTGAGGAGCACTAATTGAGGAGGATAGAGAGCAGGTGCTAAATTCTACTCAGATCCGTTTTAGAACTGAATCAATAAACAAGCAAATATACCCACAACAAACACATAGCAGAGGCATTCCTTGCCAGTTAACATTGATTTCCCTTGTGGATGATTGCAAAATGTCATTTTTCTACATTGGCTAAATTTCACAATTCACACCAGTATATGTCTAGAAGTCAGAATTCTCCAAGACTGAATGCCATCTAAGATCATATCACAGCTGCTTTATCTACTTTAATATATAATATCTACCATCTACCAGGCTTCATCTGGAATCTATTGTAGATGCTTGGACTGTCCTCTCAACCATGTGATTACTATGGGTGCAAAGCTGCTACTTCAGCATGCAAATTGTCATCTTCTCATATGCATTTTTTTTTGACACACCTTAGGGGTGGTCATTGAAGGTTAATCCTTAAGCATTAAGGACTTAAGGAATTTTTGTTTTGTTTTGTTTTTTAGTTAAGTGGAGGGAAAAAGAAGAAGGAGACAGAGGCTCTGCAATTAGATGATACTGTGATTTTTCTCCATAGAAACCTCTTTTGATAACAAGCAAGCAAACACCAAAGGTCTTCCAATGACAATCTACTGGTTAGTTTATCTTGCACATAATAATTTCAAAATAGATGTGCTGAGGGAAGAAATATGGACTCTTACAGGACAGTGCAGAACTGGAACCCAACCTGAAAGCACCAGTCACGTAGAAGTGCCAGTGGAACAGAAGTTGTTCTTTAGTGATAAATCTTATGAAGCACTCTCACAAGACGATGGATAACTCAGACTAATACTGCCTTTTCAGTGATTCAAAATCACCCATCTGGGTACACCTTTTTGCATGTGGAACACTTGTCTTGATCTGTAATCCTTGTTTGTGTCTCCTTAGGCTAGATGTTCAAATCTCTGAGCAAGAGCCATGTACTTTGGTGTTTCGGTTCGATTTTTGTACAGTGCAATAGTGTCACAGTTTTCTGAAACCTTGTTGTGCAATGCAAATAAAAATTAGCACGTCATGTACATAATGGAGACTTGTTAGTTTGAGAGTACAGCAGCAAGCTGGTCCAGTCTTTTGAAACTACTGCTTGTAGAGTCCCTTATGGTAGCATTAATCTTAGGTGATAAACTGCAATGCTATAGAGGTCAGGAGTCATTCACACTTGCAACAGTAACTCAGGGAAAAATACAACACTGACCCAAATAGGGAGCAAATGCTATTGCATCCCTTAAAGGTCTGTCCCATAAATTACCTCTTGTAAAACTACTATTGGAAAGTTAAAAGTCTGTGATGAAACATTAGCTAATTACCAACGCCACCCCTGGCAAACAGCGTTTCTGAGCTAGAATCACTGCATGCATTAGCTTAGTGTTGCTTATAATACCTTAACATTTATTGCTAAATTATGTAATTTTAAAAATATCAGAATAAGTTCAAAGCAATTGCAATCAATGCTTAAGAGATTTAATGGTTTGTTTTCAGCATTTTTATTTTTTTTTACAATAAGACTTATTAGGTTTATAGAAAGACTTATTTATACTTTCCAGGATTTTGAGTGAGGTGCCTCAATAAGAGCACCAAAGAAAACTATGAAGTCATTAAATAACAGGAAAGGTTCTTGCACACGATTGCTCAAAAGACATGAAATAGGGGCTCTTCTGTAAATTGTCTATTCCACAAGGAAAGAAAGTCCTATTTATGCTGGGCCACTTCTTGGTCAGTGTAATAATAAACATCTTATAAAGAATAGGATTATCAGCCACTAAATCTACTTATGATACTGAGTTGTTCAAGGAAGGAAAGAGGAAGGGTTGATCCTACAGACCTTCCAATTCTCAGCAGTCAGGCAATACAAATGAAATTCATTATACAAATCTTAACTTCACATTCATGATCACTGTTAAGGAAACTTCCCTGTCTGACCATCCAGGAGCCACTCTGGCTGTTACTGAGCCTATCTGAGCTGGGACCGAAGCCCCTTCACAGCTACACACACCACACTCACACAGGTTTCTTTACTGGCTCGACTGTAGGTTTCCCATAGCAGAGTGTCAGACGTTCAGATCATTAAAATAATTTAATCACGATGCCATAACTAAATAACAAAAGAACAGTCTGAGCTGGGTACCTCCAAGGAGAAACCCCGAAGAAACCTCTTAGCTTTTATGCCCTCACAGTCTAAGAGTGGAAAAGTCTGGGGGTTGTCTGGTCACCTCGCTGGGCCACATGTCTCTGTGCCCTTTGTTATGCAAAGGGTCAGCAGTTCATGGCTTCTTGCCTCAGGCTTGTGCTCCTGCCCCACAGAGCTCAACCTGCAGCTCACACTGCAGCTACACACCAAGCTACCTGCCCCGAAAGTACTCCTTAATAATGATGATCTCTGAACTGACTATTACTTCTAGTGATATTGGTGTTATAGCAGGCAGGTTTTTGCATTCAGTGCTTACTAGTGGTTAAAAAGCAAAGCCACTGTTAGAAATTGCTAGGAAATGAGCAAAGCAGAGATCATCATATACTATGAAGCATAAACTATTACAAGAACTATAAACCACTGCATACCTGCATCTTGAATCTTGATTCCCCATCTCAAGGTGAATAGAGAGGAATTGGAGAAAGTTTAGAGGAGGAAAAGATGAATGATCAGAAGTCTAAAAAGGGCTTTATCACAACTTGTCCCAGTTAAGTAGGACTCTTCAGTCTGGACAAGAGATGGCTGAGGGGCAATGCGCTAAAGATTTATGCGTGACACAGCGATAATATATAAGGATCAACTGCACTCTCTCTCTCTCCCTCCCAACACAAAGACTGGTAAATATCGATTGAAGACAGCATGGGAAGATTAAAAAAAAAAAAAAGTGTAGGTCTTATTGAAGCACGTAATTAAACTGAAATTCCTTGCTGCATGAGGTAGCAGATATCAAAAGTTTATGTTTGTTGTAGGAAAAGCTAGACAGATTGATGAGAGATGTTTATTAAGGGATTATGAAAAACACAGAAACAGCATTTGGATCAGGAAATGATCTGCAAATCATCTAAGACCAGGGTAGCACTTGGGGTAAATGTCATACAGCCTGCCATGTTTAGGTGTCAACTTTTGGCCACTGTTAGAATCAAGATGACTTTGACCAGGCGGATGAAGTATGGCATTTTTATATTCTCAACTTTAAAACCAGAAATATATCCCTATGCATTTATGCATTTATGTATGTCACTTTTAAGAATTTGATGAAAAAAACATATTACTAGTGTATATTACTATTAATATATTCTTCAGGAAAGATATGAACTCATAATTGAAACATACAACCCATTCAATAATGCAATAATGCAAAACTAGCATAGCGTGGTGGGTAAAAACAAAGGCATTTGGTAAAATTGTCAAACCCTGGATTGCAATGAAGTGCATTAGTCACAGGAGCAGTGGCTGGAATGTGATTCAACTATTCAAACTTGGTTCTGACCCTTCCCATGCCCAAGGTTGTGAAAAACCCAAACAATGACTTTTCCTTAACAACCCTGCACAGAAAAGGGCAATCAACATGAAAAAAGTGAGGATGGCAGCCACGTTCATCAGCCATTTCAGTGAGCTGTATTTGAAACATTCTTACAATGTGACACTTAGATCAGAGATGTTAAATCTGCTTCATCCACTTTGTTCAGGATAGTGGCCTGTCAAATTCTGTCACTTATCTGACAAGATTAAAGTTTTACTTGCCTTCACATAAAATAGTTTGGGAATTTATTTTTTTTTGCAGCAACAAGAAAGATATATTGAATAAATTCCCAAATTTTCTCCCTTCAGCCCAATACAGTTAGAAATTTGAATCAAATGTGAAATGTGAAAATTAAATCAAAAAGAATTATATGTGTCCCCTGAATCAAACTTCTTACATATGTGGCAATAACAAAGTAATTCTTCTTTATCATTTGGAGTTAACTGTAGGAGTTACCTGACCAGGTTTTGCATTTTCACAGACGACTACATCATAATCTCTGGCAAGCTCTGGAGGATTGTCATTGACATCCAGGATTCTAACACCAACTGGAACATGGCTCACCAGCCCAGGATTGTCTGTAAAACACACAAAGGGGTATTAAGCCTTTTGAAATACTCAATATTTAATGACATCCTCAATTTAAAAGTGGGTTATTAACACAATAACTAGATGAGAACTAGATACACCTGCAAAAACTTAGGTAGCAACATACTAAAAGACATTTGCTGTGCTTCATTAACTGTTTGGAAAAAATAGTAATTAAAAAAGGGGGAAGTATTATATGGGTCTTAAGTCACTTAAATGCAAGTTACTCTGGAAATGAAGTAGCAGAAAGCTGTTGGACTTATCAAACACTGTGACACAATATGCTAAGAAACGATCAATTGCTTTGATGTGAAAATGTCATCACAGTATCAAATTACACCTAATACAAAAAATACTAAAGTATTTTTTTTGCAACACTTCCTTAAAGAGTTAAGAAAATAAAAAAAAAAATGAATGCATAGGTACAGATGAGCCTTTTCCAAGCCTGAGTCCAGGTTTTTCACAAGTTATTATGCTATTTCATAAAGTAGTTATGTGAGTTTAGCTTTAGCAGGAAAAAAGCCATGTTTAGTAAGAATGTCTTAGGCTATGATATGTACTTTCATGAGAGCTCATCCTTAGATTTAACCCTCAAAACAGCACAATAAATAGAATCCTGTCAATGAGAATACACTTTCCATGATAAAATGGGGAAAAAGCCACAATTCCTTTCAGTTCCTAATTCCCTTGTTCTTACTTGTAAGTACTAAGGTAATTTTACTTTGTTGAAAGAATTATGTATTTAAACTTTTTATAATTAACTAATATACACCTTCTGGAGTCCATATAAATATCAATCAATGAGACGACAAGCTTCATTTTACTTTCACCAATGAAATGAGACTATCAGTAGAACACAGCAAAGTCAATCTTTCACATGCAATAAAACAGAAGAATGGGGTATTATTACAGTTGGCATTTTAAAAGTTCCTGGTCACAAGAAGAAATGAAAAAAATAAAGAAACATTAGTAGTCTAAGCCTTGGTTATTCACCTTGGCGCTTTTGATTGAGATTAATCCACACCATGTATCTGTCAAAGAGGGTCATTTGTAAAACGCTTTGTATTTGTCACACCTTTAATGATCTCTGCTCAGAATTCTGGAAAACATTGATTAGACACATACTTGGCTTCAAAGCCACCAGTGATGTACGCTCGCAATGAAAGAATAATTGAGAAAGTTGAAGTTTCTTTTGATAAATGGAGAGATCTATCCTTCTTTGTTTTCACATGTGATGCCAGTCAAAGGATCTAGGGCTCAGAAGCTATCTTTTTCACATTCTCTTCTTAACTAATATGTCTATGTTCACCTGAAGATTTACATTCATTTTTGGAACTTAGTTGATTATCCCCATAAAATGGGAACAGAAAGGAAATAAAAAAAAGTCAACAAAAACCTCTATTTCCACTTAACATTAGCATTAGAAGTTAGAAGAACACACTCAGAAGACATTTATAGACTGGAAAATTCCACTTTCTTGCTGAAATTTACCTTGACTGTTTTTATTTTCAGCTTTACCCTGAACCATATAAGAGGAAGAATGACACTTGGTTGTTCACTAAGTATTTGTGAGAAGGGAACCATTTAGCTACCTTTGTTCTTATTACTGGAGGAAGCAATCCAATATTTCTCACTGCTCACTTAAATATAGCTTACAACTCATTTCAGTAACATGCTCTACCAATGTCATCAGACAATGCAAAAACAGAAATCCAGTAATTACAATTACAGAACATGTTATCTATGTCCCAAACAAACTTTGTTTTTGAGGCTTTGTTGGGAGATTCTTGTGTGGAATTTGTGAGGTACGTGAACTACAAAGTAGTATAAATTAAAGGAAGGACACAATGAAGATAAAGAAAATGCACATAAAAGCACAGGAAAGATATGGAAGGCAGAGATCACAGTAAAGGGTTAAGTATGAATAAATCCATCTTGGAGTGGATTTAATGCAGAATAGTGGATATAATGAAGAATTTGAAGATTTTAATACTAGAGAAAACCTGAAGGCGTTTTAGCCAGAAGGCAAAAAAAAGTTGTGATTATCAGATAATCAAAGGATCACTGAAAAATCTTAGTTGAAAGGGACTTCTAGAGGTCACTGGTCCAGTCTTCATCTTCAAAGGTATAGGGGGACATAATACATCTAAGAGGAAGAGAGCAAAAGACAAGTAAAGTACCGGGCAGAGGGTACCAGAGACAGAGGACTGATCTGCAGGTCTGTCATATTTGGAATAGTTACTGGGGACAGAAAAATCAAAATTTTTAGTCCAGTGTGTGGCAAAAAAAAAAGGTAAATATATTTGTTTCAGTACAGTGCAGCAGACCTCTTTCCTACCTTGAATATGTCCTCCTGCATGCCTGTCAGTACTACACAGAGCCGTCTTACTCTAGTCAGATTAGCATTATTTTCACAGAGAGATTTTATGGAGTTTCCAAAATTTTACCTTTATTTCTTCTGCAGCTGCTTTGAGGTACAAAGAATCTACATAAACCTCACCAATTCAAATTAATTCTTATGCACAAGGTATTACTAGCATCTCTCTGGAAGCAGTTACCTCATGGGATCACTGACATTTGAAGGTAAATTTCCATACTGACAGCCTAGTCACTACAAAATGCTAATAAGGACAGTATTAACACCACTTTCCAAAACAGTCTTGAAGACTGTGGATACTACATATACATATTTGCATGCAAGACAACAGAACAGCCTATAATGAGGAAAGAGAATGAGAATTAATTGCAGCTTTTTACATCCAAGATACTTTCTCTTTCTTTGCATCTATTTTTTTTTTAGGTTTGATTTGGGGATTTTATTATAGAATCAATATAAACTCCAATCTTTTTCAAGAATACAACTCACCTGTGATCTCCAAACCATGCTAATAACTGGCTCTTTTAATAGTAAATTTTTGTTAATTAGACAAATATCTTGCAGCAGTTTGGCAGATTTCCAGTTTTAAGATAATCAGTGCTGACATAAATTTCTGGCCTGTGCGTAATAAAACATTCTGTGTCCTATTAGCATTATGCCTCAAGAGTAGATTTTTCGAAGTGAATGCTCACTGTTTTAAGGAGTAACTGAAGCAGAAATATTGCTCTGATTCACCTATGCTAGGGACTTGCTTTCTCATGCTTGAGACTTTACCCAGAATAAATAGTTCTTTTGCAGGAACACTAAATAACTGTAAAGTGAATAAATCTTATTATCAGATCCTCCACTTGCAAGTCCACTATAGATTTATAGAAGACCCTATCAACAGCCAGTCTGAAGCCTTGAACCTTCTCTTCCATTAGTTTCTGTAGCCAACCTTTAAAACCTCTATTTAAGAAGAAATCTTTTAAATGCAGCTACTGCTGTCTGAGGCTACCTTTCCATATTAACAAGATTCCCATGGGATTTAGGAAAATAAATTCTATCAGAATAACTTCAGAATAGAAGTCCTGACATCTACAGTCTCATTGTTTTGTTTATTTGCTTTTTGCTTGTTTTGTTTTCCTGTGTTCTTTTGTTGGGGTTTGGGTTTGTTTATTTTTTTTTAAATTGGACTGGTAGAGTTAAATAGTTCATAACTGTTTAACACTACTATATTAACCTCATTGTGACATCTTTTTAAGACCTTATGAAGCACACCATTACTTAGGAAATTCAATTATCCATACCATTACTTTTTAAAGAGAAGTAGAAGGCATTCATCACACTTCTCTAATAAAGATTAGTTTTTACAGATTCTAAGAATAAATACAGATCTAGGAAGACAAAATATGCTACTGAAACAGAGCTAAAATGATGAAAGAATGTCTAATATTCAGAAAATACTGGTTTTAATTTAGGATGGTGTGTATGTGATAAACTAAATTTCCTGGAAAGGAGAAAATTATACAGAATCTGGTAATAAGTGTCATGTTCAAGGCTTCTTTTATAAGGTAGTAGGTACCTTTAAATATTGCTACCTGAAGTTGGATAGATAAGGTTCTATTTTGTCTTTTAGCAAAATTTAACTTTTCACTGATAAACACAAACCTGAAGGCACTGATCAGTTTTTTTTGATCATGCTAACAGTCATAGCATCAGCAATTACAAGAGCAATAGTAGGAATCATAGCACTGCAGCAGACTGAAAACTTCATGACCAATAGAGTCTTAAAACTCAGACCTTGTAGTTTTTAAAATCTACTTTAATCTTTTCCACATACAGGAAAATACTTTTGTGGCAGATTCTGTTTCTTGGAAAAATATAATATGTTAATGTAACGAATACCAAAACTCTTTCTGAAACTGACTAGCAGGCAGAATGCAAATGAGATACAAGATGTAAAATCAATGTGATTTTGCTTCTTGGTGAAGACAGGGGTTATGAAAACTATTTTATGTCTGTTTCTGTAATGCACATGATGGTCATAAATGTAGTAAAACAATACATAAGACAATATTTCCCTGTAACGGTTTAAAAAATTGAGTGAATTTCATTATTTACATCTTCTGTATTGTAAAAAAAAAAAACCCCACATTAGTGTTGAAGAAAAAAAACTCAGACCAAAATTCACTATGAGGATATTTTATAGTTATTGTAAAAAAAAATCACTTTTAAGAAAAACTATGACACAAACCTAGCAACAAACTCGCTGGTATTAATCATTCTGTACTCCACCAGATATAGAGCGTTAGGAGATTATAACACTGTAACAGCATTTTGTTCTGATTTAGATTGCTTTCTTAGGGATGTTGAAGAGGGACCATTTTCTAAAATTTAGTAATTTAACACAAGGAATCAAAGTTTTTCTTGATTATGTGGAAAAATTTGAAATGAGAAAATAAATTGACATAAATTCTTGCTTTTTTCCTAATCCTTTCAATGCTGTATGCCAGGAACCTATTACTCCATAGACTTATTTCCTTCAGGCAATGCATATGTTGTTTTCACGTGTTTCAAAATAAACAGAAATTGTGTATTTTTGTCTTTTGATTTTACTTTTTGAAAAGTAAA